TATAACCCTCAACTACTCAATGTTCTAAGTTACCAGTTTCCCAAGAAAGCCAACCATACATATATATATTTACACATGTATTTGCCGGCGCAAGCCTTCACTCTTAACATATATACACAGCAAGATCATTTGGGTATGCCTGTTCACTAATCTAGGTATCTTTGGATGTTCTAAGTTGTGTATTCCCAAGGTACTTGTGGGCCAGCCTATGTATGGTATAACCCTCAGCTACTCAATATTCTAAGTTACCAGTTTCCCAAGAAAGCCAAACATGCATATAAAATCAATAAATATATATATATGTATATTTGCACGCACATACCTTTACTCTTCAAACATATACACAACAAGATCCTTTGGGTATGCCTGTTCACTAATGTAGATACCTTTAGATGTTCTAAGTTGTGTGTTCCCAAGGTACTTGTGTGCCCGCCTGTGTATGATATAACCCTCAACTACTCAATGTCCTAAGGTACCAGTTTCCCAAGAAAGCCAAACATGCATATAAATATGAATAGATATATCTATATATATTTACACCTATTTGCACGCGCATACCTTTACTCTTAAAACATATACACAACAAGCTCATTTGTGTATGCCTGTTCACTAATGTAGATATCTTTAGATGTTCTAAGTTGTGTGTTCCCAAGGTACTTGTGGGCCAGCCTACGTATGATATAACCCTCAACTACTCAAGGTTCTAAGTTCTCAGTTTCCCAAGAAAGCCAAACATGCTTATATATATTTTTTGAACATATTTTTTTGCGCTCGCATACCTTTACTCCTCAAGTTTTCACACAACAAGATCATTTGGGTATGCCTGTTCACTAATGTAGATATCTTTAGACGTTCTAAGTTGTGTGTTCCCAAGCTACTTCAACAAATATATTCCGAGTATCTGTAAGAATAATACTGACTTTTTGCCAGATGCAGACATATTTATATATTTACTTTTATTTGATTTCATGTGATTTTGATTCCGTGAGGCAGGCGAGGTTCAGCACCAATGGGTGATGCAGAAGGGGGACGACGCAACTTCCAGAGCGAGAGTGTCCGTCCTACACTGCCGGCATGTCTTGCGCCAGCTGCTGAGATTTCAGCACAAACAAATGCAATGTATATATATTGTGCAGGGCTGCCATGGTTACATATATTATACACGTATATGTATATATGTACATTTTCATACGACCAGTATATGTATATAATTATGCTATATATATCTGGAGAGTTGGAGTGTGGAAGACAAAATGTATATGTTCTAAGTTGTTGTTTCGCATTTAGGTTAGTTGATCTCTAAGATATAAATATATGTATGTGTATGTATATATATATTGAATAGTTCTCACACAGGTCCCGCACATCTGAATTTAGGAGCCTTGTAGCTTCCACGTACAGAGCATGACCAAACAAAGACCAGAACAGAGCAAAGGGAAGAAAAAGCTGAGCGCAGCACGTGGAACATGAACATAGAACATGTGGAACATCATTTCGGGCAAAACTTAGAACATCCGATCATTACATTACATGAATTATCTTATTTTAAGGTCTGGATGTTCTATATAGGTTATGGTGTTTTTTGATGTTCTAAGTTTCACCGCAACGTTATATATATAAATAAATATGTATGAGCTGGATACTTGTGGCTGATGGGCTGGAGGCTGCCCGCATTCTGCATCGTTGAACCCCACGCTCTTGTGGAAACAGAAAGTCTCGCTTCCAATTCCCTTGGGTATCGTTCCAGGGGGCGCCCTTCTTTTCGCTTTTGACCCTTTTCACGCTAAATCAGGGCATCCCTAGCCTAACATGACTTCTTAGACTGTGGCAATTCGCGGTAGTCTAGGAGAACTTCGGCCGCCCAGTCGGCTCATCCTATGCTTTGTTTCTCTTGGCCAAGACCAAACCAGTGAGCATAGTCATGGTACCACTGCCTGGCCTTAGGGAAGACAAAAAAGGGCACCAGCGAAGGAGCTCCAGGAGCGCTATCTTCTGGGATCTAGCTAGGTCTCCCCAAGTAGCTGTAAAATACACGTTGAATGATTTTCGTTGCAGTCTGTTCGAAGGGCATGTGTGGTCCAGTGGTGGTGCCCCTTTTGATCAGCTGTGGGGAAGAGGAAAAGAGCGCCAGCACAGGAGTGCTATCTTCTGGGATTTAGCTAGGTCTGCCCAAGTAGCTGTAAAAAAGTACGTTGAAAGACGATGTCTGCAGTCTGTTCGAAGGGAATGTGTGGTCCAGTGGTGGTGGCCCGATTGATCGTTTTGCTATTGCTTTGGTGGGGAAAAAAGGGCACCAGCAACGGAGTGCTATTATCTGGGATCTAGCAAGGTCTCCCCAAGTAGCTGCAAAAAATAAGTTGAAAGACTATGTTTGCGGTCTGTTTGAAGGGCATGTGTGGTGCAGCGGTGGCGCCCCCTTTGATCGTTTTGTTACGGTTTTTGTGAAGAAAAGAGGGCACCAGCAAAGGAGCGCTATCTTCTGGGATCTAGCTAGGTCCCCGCAAGAAGCTGTAAAGAAAATTCGCTGAAAAAGTATATTTGCGGTCTGCTTGAAGGGCTGGTTTTCGTCCCCTCTCCTCTCAGGTATAAATATATACCAGACTGACATCATCATCCAAATACTTAGCTTGTCACCAAGGGGAAGCGGCTAGTCCATCTTCTCAACAAACCTGCTGGACTGCGCGCAGAGAAGGGCTGGCAAGTTCTGTTGTGTGTATGCAAAAAATGCACTTGAAGAAATCCCTGGTCTCAGCCATGGAGCATCCCTGATAATTTTGGCACACAAAGCAGGAATCACGCTGCAAACTGACTGCGGGGTAACTAGTCCCAGGTTTAGCGCAGGATAACGCAAGCCTCTCCTGAATTCAAGCTAAAAGAAATCAGAAGGTTTGACAACCCATTCTTCCAATACGTGAGTATAGTGGAGCGCTGCGCAGGAGATTTGTCCGCCAAGATCACCGCTTCTCCAAAAATTGTCAAGTGTCTGAAGCATTGATTTCGGAATGATTCGGATCAGAATAAATCATCAAATTGCTGCGGAACTCTCTCTTTCGAAGAATTCTGGAGCATTCACAGACTGTTGATTTTTTTGACGTAGCTTTTCTCAGGTGAAACTCTTGTCGCGCTTGAACCCCGAGATGGCAAAATCAGTAAAGCTGCAATGCTTCATCATTGCAACCGCAACCTTTAAATGCATCCCTACAGCTGCGGGTAGCTGGGCGAGCCTGGAGGAGGTGAGGCGGCAACCACATGCATTTCATTCTTTGGTGTTTTTCTCACAGAAGCCGACAGGTGTGCTTTGTCGACGTCCCGTCCCTGTCAGACTGCCAAGGCTTGACTCATGGTTTGGGAGAGTGACTAATGGCGTCCTTGACCCTATCAAAACCGAGCTTCTTGTGTAAATGTAAACGCATGAAAAGTGCAACCGAGCAAATCTGCTTGTGAGGTGCCTGCTTGAAGTTCTTTGCTGGGCACAGACATGTAAAGCTGCCCGTTTGGGAGGTGCCAAATGTGCTGCGTGTGTGAGCCAATAGTAGTTGATCTTGTGTTCATTTCAGGCTGACCGATTTCAACGCGCGCTTCAGTATTGTGGCCTTTCGCCACCTGCCATTTGTTGTCAAGCGCGGGTCAAACGGTGGCAACGAGGAAAGGAGGCAGGCTCGTTCAGAAGTGAGAGCGCTTTTTTTCTCACAGCTGTTCGTAGCCCTTGAGAGGCTGCGTTAGCGTTTGCCTTGCTTCTGGCAGCTGTCCGGTGGGCAGATGCGGACATGCCAAACTTGAGTCACCTCGCCAAGGCAGTGCGATTCAGAATGTAGACCTGCAGCATGTATGGGAGATTTGCCCGGAATGGCTAGAAAACCATACGTTTTACACATTTTTGGCTTTTTGTGCAACTCAACTCATCGTCTTGGAGTTGGGGAACTCCAAGACGATGACTTGAGTTGAATTTCAAGACATCAGCTCATCCTACGCATCATGCACGTAGCGCATCCTCATCATCCGCATCATCATCATCGTCATCATCATCATCATCGTCCTTTCCCGAACGCGTAGCGAAGGGTTCTCGTTTAACTCTGGGGGTCTGGGGGTAGAGCCTTGTTCGCGACGCGTTGTCTCAGCGTTCGCAACCGTCCGCAACCGTCCACAACCGTTCGCAACCGACCGCGACCGTCCGCGGTAGGGCACTAAGGCGCTGTCGTCGGGGGAAGCTTTTGGAGAGGGTTTCGGATGGAAATGGAAGCGTGTGGGCATGTAAGATGTTGAAGTGTGGAGGATGATTTCACTGCGCAGGCGCAGCATTTTGTGAGATCCGCAGTTTTCTGCGCAGTTCCATTGGGATTAGCGTTTGGAGAGTTGTGTTTTAGATTTTTTAGGGTGTTGGATCTGGCGTGCCATTGGGGTTTGCTTTTCAGGGTGTTGCATCGAAGCTCTGTTTTCGTGACAGGTCTCAGCTGACATGGCGATTTTTGTGGATGGGAGTGTGCTCAGAACAGGTCGAAACCATTCCAAATGTGTGGTGTTGTGCAAATTTTGTTGAAGCTCACATGATATGATATTGTCACTTTTCGTGGCAGGCGCAGTACTTTGTGCGGGTTTTGAGGCGCGCGTTAGACGTGTGGACGCGGCAAGATTCGTGGCAGGCGCAGGGAATCGTGAGGTTGTGAGTTGTGGTACAGGTGAATGTCGCTGCGACATTGGGATTGGCGTGTGACCGGGTGTTGTTTGGAGGGGCTGAGAACGGGAAACTGCTTGGCAGGGCTGCGTGATGTGTGCTCCGATGGGTGTTTCCGCTTGACGTTTGGAGGAAGTCTCGCACGAGACGCTCGCTTTGCAGACTTTGACATGTGAGTTTCTGAGGAGGTCTCGTACGAAACGCTTGCGGTGCGTGGGCAGATCTTGGCGGCGCGACGTTCGTGATGTCGCAGTGCCATGCGGACAGTGTGTTTGCGTGGCGCCGTGCCGCAGGGGAGCGCGAAACATTCTGGTGTAAACGCGGCGTGTCGCTGTTGAGCGGGAAGATTGGTGGTGTCATGTGCTTCGAGTGTGTGGCGGACCGTGCGGCGAAATTACGTTCGCGATGTCGCAGCACCACGGGGATTTGCGCAGCGTTGGTGGGAACTGCGTTTGCGCGGCGCCCTGCCACTGGTCAGCGCGAAACATGCTGCGGCGTGTCGCTGGCGAGCGGGATGAGTTGTGGTATCGCGTGATATGTTTGCTTCTGGTGCGTGGCGGACCGTGCGGCGAAAGTACGTTCGTGATGTCGCAGTGCCACGCGGATTTGCGCGGCCTTGGTGGGAAGTGCGTTTGCGTGGCGCCGTGCCACTCGGGAGCAGTCGCCGGTGAGCGACGAGCGTGTCCCATAGGAGTGCCCCAGAAGAGTTTCCTGCAAGAGTGACCCACAAGAGTGTCCCACAAGAGTGTCCTACAAGAGTGTCCTACAAGAGTGTGCCAGAAGAGTGTCCTGCAAGAGTGACCCACAAGAGTGTCCTGCAAGAGTGTGAGCGCCAAGAGTGTCCCACATCCCAAAAGATTGTTCCGTGAGAGTGTCCCACAACAGTGACCCACCGGAGTGTCCTACAAGAGTGCCAGAAGGGCGTCCCGTAAGAGTGTCCGACAAGAGTGTGAGCGCCAAGAGTGTCCCACAAGAGTGTCCTAGAAGAGTGTCCCACAAGATTGTTGCCTGTTGCGTGAGAGTGTCCCACAAGAGCGACCTACAAGAGTGTCCTACAAGAGTGTCCCACAAGAGTGTCTTACAAGAGTGTCCCACAAGAGTGTCCTACAAGAGTGTCATACAAGAGTGTCCCAGAAGAGTGTCCTGTAAGAGTGACCCGCAAGAGTGTCCTACAAGATTGTCTCACACGAGTGCCCCACAAGAGTGTCCCACAAGAGTGTCCCAGAAGAGTGTCCGACAAGAGTGTCCCAGAAGAGTGTCCAATAAGAGTGTCCCACAAGAGTGTTTTGTAAGAGTGACCCACAAGAGTGTCCTACAAGAGTGTCCCGCAAGAGTTTCCTACACGAGTGACCCACAAGAGTGTCCTACAAGAGTGTCCCAAAAGAGTGGCCCAGAAGAGTTTCCTACAAGAGTGACCTCGCATAGTCTTCCACCACTCCGCCGGGGGAGTAATCAATCCAAGCGCTGCGCGCTGCCGCTACCAGCTCAAATATCGTGGATGGCCTGCAGCACCACCACCTGTGGTCCACCCTACCTTGGATCTTTTTCACCATAGGGAAATTGCTCTGAGAAAATGGAACATGGATGGAACAGGCTGATGGCGGACTGGAGTCAACCCTTCAAACAGCGTGACATCCTTGACTACGCTCACTTTCTGCTGCCAATTGTTTCTCCCTCCTTTCACAGCTGCAAACGGCAGTTCAGGATGGAGGATGAATTGGGACAAGTCAGAATCATTGACACAAACGCTGGCACACATTGACACATGCTTGTCTCCATCCCGCCACTGGTCTATGCGCCCCACGGACTTCATGCCATGGTTGGTTTTGGGGACCTGACCTGCCTCCATTGACCGGCTCAATGAAGATGGATGCAAGGTGAACACCAAGTGACATGGAGCTTGCGGGTTTGTCTCCCCCACTACTCCACAGGCCACTACCGCACGCAATGGTTGGTGGCTATCAACTGCCAGACGAAGCGCTGCGCAATCTCTGTCTTCTGTGGCTGGTGTGTGATCCACACGGAGGAGCTCGAATGGAGACTTGGCTAAACACAATACATTCTCAGCCACTCCTTCCAAAGAGCGCGTGTATCAAAAAATTAGATTTGATCCAACCACGGATTGCCCATGGAAGCAAGAGTGGCCCATGGCCTTGGACTTGATGGAGGTGGAGGTGCTGCGCCCCAACACTGCGCCCACAGTCCTGCTGCAGCATCTAGCCACACATGAGGACCTTTGGAGGCTTTGACTGAGGTTTCAATGCAATGGTTAGCTGCGCTAGGTTCGAAAACACCATGCGCGCGCGCTTTCCGTATTTTCGCGCAGATTTCGCTGAGCATGTCAATTTTGAAGATCATGAATGCCCACGCCATAGACAATGGGCCACGCTGCACCTGCTTTGGAGAGAAGGTCAACAGACCATTGCAGACAAGACCAAGCAGCTTGGAACGCTTTTGGACTTTGGACTCGATGGCCTAATTCTCGAAGAGAGCAGGGCGGACCATGAAATCCAGGTCAACGCCAACTTCGATCTTGGAGTGCGTTCAGAAAGAATCAAGATAGAGCCCACGAACCCGATTGCAAACAGGGCACTCTTGTGGGACTTGTGGGACGAGGTGTCCAAGGTGTTGAGCAAGTGGCTGTCGTTGCACGTTTCCTGGGGCGGGCTCTGGCCATGATCATTTGCCATACTCCCAAATGACATAGTGATCTCCAATGGCCTTGCATCTCTTGGGAGTGCAGTTGAGCCAGCGCCAGAGTCAATCTCCATGGGATAGCCAACATGCTGTTGGACGTTTCCTGATTGGCGATCTTTTGGATCGCGCTGGAGCATGTTGTGTGGCCAGAGTTAGAATCCCTTCAAACAATGGGACTGGTGGATCCTTCTCGCCTTCGACCTCACTGGCAGACTCGCATACACAAACGCTCGAAGTGATGGCTTGACTACTGCTGAGACACGAACACAACCTTCAGGTCCTGGCGGTAGAGCAAGAATTTATGATTTTTTGTGGGCACCGGTCCAGGCGCCATCCTCACAAAACTCATGACCAAGGCTCAGGAATGGCACAGCACACCAACGGGGGGAGCGTCCCCTGCCATCGAGGATCTTGACGTTGAAGGCAACGCTCGAAGAACTGAGCCAGATGAATCAACAACAAGAGGTTCCAAATGAACTATCTCCAGATCAACGCCGAAACGCAGTTTGTTTTTCCACGCCTGAAGTGGAATGCAGCGTCGAGACTGGTTGAGGAGGCGGTTGCTGCGGCGCGGGGGGGGCTTTCTCGTCTTCCCTCTGGCTTTTCTTTTGGAGTTTGAGCCATGTTCAACGTGGTGGATTTTGGCCTCTTGGAGCTTTTCGCTTCGGTCTGATCGACCTCCATCCATGCTGCCATATTCGAGACCATCTCCTTCAGCTCTTCCGCCTCGTTCATGGTGGCCATGGCGCAGGATTACACAGAGAGCTGCAAGCTCAAGTATGACTGGACACTCGTGAGCTGCAGTGGAGTGTTTGGAACAGATTGAGCATGTCTTCGTGTTCAATTGTAGGGGAGTCAGGTACTGTCGGTATAGTGATCCCCTGTTGCAATGTTTTGCATGATGATGGTGCCACAAGTGAACTCTCATCCCTCCAGTATCCCACACAGACTGCAGCATTCCGCCATGTTTTTGACTATGTTTCCAAATTTCTCTTTTGCAAGCCAAGTGTCCAGATCTGGATAGGTCATCATCATCATCACCACCACCATCATCATCATCAGCGAACTGGATCATCTGTATCCCACCAGACCATGTTGGGTCATCGGAAAGGTTGCCTTTCGGCAAGCTGGCAGGCTGTAAAGAAGTTCAGCCATGGAGTAGAGTTTCTGGAAATCCCACTTGCTCTCACCTCAGATGTTTGTCACGTTCTGCAGCTTCAGCCTTGGTCTAGCTTGGTGACCTAGGCACAGGATTCAGCAGGTCTGTGCATAGAGGAGGTGATTGCTGTGTCATGGCATAATCCAATGGCTCGCCTGTTGCAGAGTTGAGAGACACGACCTTCGCTAGCGCTATTGTTCGCGATGATTTTTGACCGTTTCTTTTGATCACATTAGGTGGGCAAAGGAGACGCCGAGACGACCACTTCCAGTTTGTTGCTTCGGAAGGAGGCCTTGCTTTGGCGTAGCAAGCGATCGATGTTCATGGCAATGCAGCTGTGAGGTGGTCGTGTGCTTCATTGATTGGTGCTGCAGCTGAGGTGGTTCTCGAGGAAAGTGAGTATGTCCTGGTCAGGCCACCTCGTCAGGCTGACAACTATGTGGGATGTGTGCAAGAGGCGCAGCGTATCCTGACGGAAAAAATTGGGGGAAGTTGGTCAACCGCATAGAGAAAAAAATGTTACCGCATTGATTCCAGATAGCGCGGTTTCAAGCGACATTAAACCAACAGATCAGCACCGCATCCACACTTGGGAAACGTTTTTGAGTGGCTTTGCGCAAGAGAGTTGAAAGTGTTTGTACTGTTGCAGTGTATTATTAGCAATATAGTAAGAGCACTCAGCTCTGTTGAAAGACTTGAACTTGGGCCGTGCTTCAAAAAATTGAGAGAAATGGGCAGGCCCCTTCAGACAGTGCCCTGCTCACGGGCTCCTTGGTTGCTGCTTTCGAGGACACGGCATTGGAGGCGCTCGGATTCGGATTCGCTGGGCGATGTTCAGACACCACACATGCAGTTTGACGCAGGCAATGATGACCACCTTTGCTGCCAGCTTGGCAATTTGGTTGCATGAGTGTGGGCGAAGGCAGTGTACTGCGCAATTCCGTCAAAACAAAGTGCTTGTTAGCGCTTCCAAAGTGGCATAGTCATTATCAAAATATATCAAAAATTATCAAAATATGTGTTTTAGTTTTGGTGTTTGACCTTCTCTGGTGGCCCAGCAGCACGCAACGTCCAAAAAGTATTGAAACTGTTTTACAGATGCTGAACAACCGCCCTCAAGCTCTACCCAACAAAATTCCGACAACCTTGTGGTGATTGTTTGGCAGGCACGCAAAATGCTCAAAACGAGGATAGCCCGTGGGTGATGAATGAATGTAGTCCCGGCGTGTGAGGTCAGCCTTGTAATCGACAAGAGCTGGGAACAGTTGGCAAGCTCAGGTTCGGTTTTGTGTGTGTGTGTTGTGCTTCTTTGGAATTGCAACGCTGGCAAAAGCTTTGGAAGAATTCAAGGTGTAGATGCGTTTGGGTCCACACAAAGCCGCTGTGAACGCTGGAGTTGCAAAGCCAGAGTCGTACAGGGGAAAGCCTTGAAGCTGAAGCTGCAAAAGAGAACGACGCAGCTGGTGTGAAGT